AAATGTGTATCCCCCTCGAAAACAAATACTAAACTATCCCTAGGCTTACCTTAGAGACACCCAAATCTAACTTAGTAACATTTCCTTGACCCTACTTAACTTATACTCATATTCAGGTCATTTAGAATCATTGTTGACTCTTCGTTAGTCCAATTATCCAAAATCAATCCTTGTTGACAAGAGTTATTAAAATGCCCATATATCAAAACCCTTGGGTGAAGATGGGTCAAAGATAATCTTCTAACTTCAGCTTGGGTCAAATTAAACTAGGAGATATCAATAATCAGTTTAACTCACCCTTGATCCTTGGTCAGCCCCTATTGACCATAGGTTGACCTAAAAGTCTAGATTACCTAAATATCCTAAATATAACTGATCCCAGGTTTTTTATTCTTGTAACTCTTCTCTAGACTGATCAGTTGTTCTAAATTAAGCAAACCCAACTTAGGATCGCTCTAGCCTTTACCTAAACCATGGTTAATGATGATTAATTTTGATTAGGTAAAAATTACCCAAAGGCCCATTCTTTAATTAAATTCTACTACTTCAAAGTCAACATCATCACATTAAAACTTAATAATCAAACTCTTAAGCTCAAATTTAACTATCATAAGAAGCAATGCCCTTTATCTAACCTAAGCTACCTGAAAAGGCTAACCCAAGTTGACCAAAAGTACATAAAACTCAATTTGAACTTACCCAAGCCAATCCAAATCGGCTTAGTGCATAAGTGAGATTCCATGAACCTTCTAAAGTATATTTTAGGTTAACCAACCACATAACATTACTTCCACAACAAGCCTACATTTATCCTGACCTCCTCAAGTGGTCATAAATGGTCGAACGACCCCTCTAGCTATCCTTTAGTGTTTGGGTAATCTCTCACACATTGAAACATCCAAATTATCAATCCTAAACTAAGTTCACTACCAATAATAGCTACCAAAGTTTGGAATTCAATCTGGACGTAAATTCAAGTGTCCCATATATACCTTCTTCTAGCCTAAACTCTCATGTTAGAATCATTCCCCAATATTTCCCAAAGCATTTTTCAAAGTTCTTAGCTTTCCCCAATCTCTAAGATCTCTGTGCTCATGGGTTGAGTAAGCTTTAGTGAGGTGTGTTTAGCTAAATTGCAAGTTTTAATCTAGGCATCTTCATCTTTCGTGTCTTCACTGAACTTATTCTAAAGCCTATAAGGAACTCTCTCAAAACCCTTTTCCCTTAAAGAATCCATTGAATGAAAGTCATTCTCAAACAAAATTGTATTTTTTTTTTTAGGTTTTGGGACATTAAGAAAAGGATGTACAATCCAATGCAAACCAACAAATTGATCACAAAATTATGGCCCCCAGATCCATCAAAATCAATTTGGAGAAGATCTGTCCATGGGTTATGTTGGATCATCAAATTCCCACGAAGGTTTTTATTAAAAGCAGATGGTTGGACATGAAATAATGATTTTTTATTTCATTCAAATTTAATGAGCAACCATGATTTAATTGTATAAATTCCCATTTAAAATCAATGATTCGAGTTCCCTCTAATAAATCTAAGTGTATAATGGTTTCCTACTTTAAATAAAGACCACTCCAGTGCTGCCATGCGAAAAGAATGACTGACTTAACATTGATTTTATTAAATTCAACATATGGATTTTATTAAATTATAAAATATAAGAGAACTTTAAAAAAGTAAAATATATTTAATTTCTTATCCAAATATTGCATGCAATAACTCTATGGATTTATAAAATAGCATATAATATTTTAAAAATAGCTTTAGAGCTTTTAAATTAAAGATATACTTTGAATTAATTAAATACTATATAGAGTAATTTGAGTAATTAACATTCTTAGTCCCTAAAAAGAATTTTAGCAAAGGGTTAGGATGTCTTCGGCATCCTCAAATTTCCCTTAATGGATTTAAAGTTTCCATGACCCACAATGGAATTACCAAATTACTAGACCAAAATGTAAGCTAGAATTTTAAAAATTCATTTCTCATAAACAATGAATGAAAATATATTGAAATGTGAATGGTATACTTGTTTGTTTATGAGGGTTTGAGGAAATGTTTGCATAAGAAAAATTAAGTAAGTTCATCCATTTGAAAATTCATTGAAATGTTATGTTTAAAATGCTTTGTTGACCTCAATTTTGAATGAGACCAGTTTTCTTATGTAAAACACTAACATCAAGTCATCAATCATTAAACCATACATCAAACTCTATACTAACCATTAGCATAGTGCCTTAATCATTAGTATACTTAAATAATCACTTGACAATCACCCCTAACAGCAAATTGATCATCATATATATCACCTCAAAATAAGGGTATCAATATTTGACCCATCCTAAAATGTTATGCAAACCCAACACAAAAAAATCTTAGTTCGGGTTAACATGTTTCCCATAAAAGTCAGGTTTAGGGTTGATGTTCTAACAAATTTATAAAATTGGGTTAGGTTCAGGTTGACCTAAAAACTAAAAAAATGATGCAAATTTACTTGGATCCCACCCTCATGTCCTCCCTCCTGACCCATGCTCGCATCCGCTGTTGAACCCACCCTCATTTCTATTATTGCACATGCTCACACTGTACCGATGAACCCTCCGACACATGCTTCGGCACCCAAAAATCCTTGAAACTTGAAAAAATTTCCCTTCACTTGAAACTTAGAAAAATGACCTTGGAGTCTTGATTTATCACTTAAATATTGATTGGGAATGTCCCTAGGGTCAACCACATGAGCTTGAAAGCATTTCAATATTCCTAACCCCTAAAACTCAATTATTTCAATAGGTTATAAAACCTTCAAATATTTATAGCCTATGCCACTAAACATGGTATCCTATGATTTTGATATTGGAGGCTTCTCCAAACTCATTCACTATGATCAACATCACTAGCATGATGTATTAAAATTATCTAGAGCTTTAGATAACCACCATAAAACCCTAAAATCTTATACTTTAAAATTTGAATTTTTCTTAAATCCCAACATAGCTCAATAAAATTAGACCATATAATGATCTACAAAAATCATTTGACCAAGTCATGACCAAGCTTAGTTGACTAAGTTTGGGCTAGAAGAGGACTAAGTTTAGTTGACTAAGTCAACCAAGGTTGACCATATGAAACCATTAAACCAAAAAGCTACATTTTATACATTTAAACTTTACCACTATATCGAACTTACACCAAAGTGTTCAATACATCCTATTTAATGGTTTGAACCCAAACTTATCCCAAAGGTTAGCTTAGTTGACCAAATCAACCTAGGTTGACCAAATGTCCTATATATGGGTTTTAACCTACATTTCATATAAGAAGACCTTACCAAACCTTGGAACCACCACCAATGAATTCAAAACATCTTTTGGAATGTAATGGATTAAATCTAAACCCTTTGGTCTACTTGGTTGACCAAGTCAACTAAGGATGACCAAGCTTACATATATTGAAATCCATTGCATTTTCATTGACCAAGGCATGATTAAACCCATCTAAACTAATAGTGTTGTCTATAGAATCCATAGGGATCAACTCTAGGACTCATGCATTTAGTCCACATGGGTTAGCCACTTGGCTTGACCAAAATGGTCAAAATCATAATGTACCCAATATAAAACTAGACTTAATTGACCTAATAAATCACATCTATTACATTGCCTAAGGCTCATAATATCTTCCATGGTTAGCCCAACCTTTGAACTGACCTATGTTGACTCAATGAGCTAATCCAATGCTAGTCAAATTACCCAAACTAAACTATCTTGCTTGCCCTACTTTCCCAAGTCTAGTTGGCTCTTAAATGGACTTTAGGAATGTTCTAAGAGCATTTTTACTGCATTTACTAGCCTAGCTTGGTTGAATCTAGACATATTTTTGAAAATCTCCCACATGTTACTCATGGGTTAAGCCTACTCTTGCACTTTAGGCCAACCCAAACTCTCAAATATTCATGATGTCTTCCTTGAACCCTCTAGAGCATGCTTGACCTGACATAGAGGCCAGAGAGAGCTGAAATAAAGCTAGAATCCTATTTAAGTGCATTTTAAAAGTCTATAAATACCCCAAAATTTTACTAAAGAATGGTTTGATTTTTATTTTAAGTAGCTTCCTAAGTGTGAGAGCATCCTTTCTCTATTTTTCTAGCTATCCATATGAGGTGTTATGGTGGTTTCGAGCAAGCTCCGCCGATCGTTCCATTATGAGAACTTAATATTCAATTCATTCATTCTTAAGTATTGACTTCTTGAGAAGAAATGTTTCAAGGGTTCGGCCGATCATGCGTAAAGCAAGGCCAAGGGTATTGGAGTTTTACTTTAGGTATTCTTTTTTTTTTCCAAGCTCTAATCTAGGAGGGTCTGTGGACCTCATTTTTGTATGAGGTCTCTACGACTCACTTTGGGTTTCTTTATAGTTACCTAATGACTAGAATATGTCCACTTCTTTGCCAAATATGTCTTAGTAAAAAGAATCCATATCTAATCAAATCAAGTTGCACCCTTCAATTCAATTTATGAACCAACCTTCAGCAAACTTTTGATCAACCTTCAAATCATATCTAATCATTCTCAATCATTAATTCTTTTATCTTTGATGTGGATAATCTAAAATCAACTAGTCATTTTGAAAAGCCAATCTAAATCCAACATTCCAAGCCAAATTCTAGGATTAAAGTCCAATATCCCGAAACCCTTTCTGGGTTAATTTTTTGTCACCTAGAAAACCAGTCAAATTTGAACCCATTCTTAGATTCCTAGCCCTAGAAAGGATTGGATAACTCATAGTAGTGGACGTAGGTAAAGTTTTGACCAAACCACTATAAAATCTCATGTGTTTGCACTTTATCTTTGTTCTCTCTCTCTCTCCCTCTCTCTCTCTCTCTAGTGATGGTTATTGGCAGTAGCAGAGACGATCGTCTCATTTTTTGAGTTTCAGTGAGATGCTAATCCATTTAATCATGATGGTGTTAAGCATATCGCCAGCAAAGGAGGTGGGATTTATAATGGCCCTAGAGGATATTTGGTATATGTCGCCATCGACATTTCTTGCCTCAGTGGCTATGTAATAGGGAATCTCGATAATGATGAATTCAGTCACAGGCTCATCACGATCCTTAGAGAGAACTATGTCTCCGAAGAAGGTGTTACTTTTGATGCTAGAGCGTGCACCACACTAGCTTTTATTACTTTACACTTCGATGGACAGCGCGAGTTTATGTTCTATCAAAACCCTAGCATTGATATGCTTCTTAACCCAATTGAAATGGATCTGGATCTCATGTGCATGGAAAAAGTCTTCCATTATGGATCTGTAAGTTTGATCACAAATCAATGTGGATCAGCTCAGTTAAAGGTCATTGAGGTTGCTAAGGAAGTTGGAGTTCAAGTCTCTTATGACCTAAACCTTTGGCTGTAAATGGTTACCGCTGTGGCCATCTGCAGTCGAGGCAAAGGAAATTTTTTTTGAGCATCTGGGATCAAGATGATGTCATTAAAGTTAGTGATGTTGAGCTTGAATTCTTAATTAATAGAGATTTAGTAGAAGATGAAGTTGCTTTGTTACTGTGGTGGCCAAGCTTGAAGCATCTGTTGGTTATACTTGCCGAAAAGGAATGCAAGTATTACACCAATGATTTTTGAGGGGTTATTAATGCCTTTAATGTTAGCCAAGTTGACAACATATGTAACTGGTGATGCATTTGCAGGTGCTTTACTCAGCAAACTTATTGATGATATCTCAGTATTGCTGGATGAAAAGAAACTGAGAGAAGTGTTGATATTCACAAATTCTTGTGGCGCAATCACTGCCACTATGAAAGGAGCAATCCTTGCTCCGCCCAGCCTTGCAAGGGCCATGGCTGTTTTGGAGAAGCCATAAAACATCCCCAACAAAGCCTTGTCTACTTTTGCTTCTCTTTGCAAGCGTAATAAGCTTATTATCATGTTCAATGTGCACTTATGGCCATCAGGCACCTCTATTTCTTTATGTCGAGTCGTGATCTCTTCCATATTTTGTATCTAATATTAGTGTGATAAACTATATGTATTATGTTGTAGTAATAATTGACAATTTTAAAATGTAAGTGAAAAGCTTATAGGAGAGCAATAGTTTAAAAATTAAAAAAAAATAAATAAAGAACATTAAAACTCTAAAACAACCTTTCTTTTATACTTAGGGATTGATTATCTGTAAGGGCACTAAAATCTTTTACTTGAGCTTCAATTTCTATATTTTATACATGAAATTAAACTAAAATAAATATTGCGAATAACAAATTAAATTAAAAATAATAGATTTGGGTCTCTAAATTAAACCTTCCAAATTTGAACCCTTTTTTAGGTCCCTAGCCATAGAAAGGAGTGGATGTCTCTGAGTAGTAGACGTAGGTCAAGGTTTGACCAAACCATTATATAAAATCTCATGTGTTTGCACTTCATCTTTGTTCTCTCTCTCTCTCTCTCTCTCTCTCTCTCTCTCTCTCTCTCTCTAGTAATGGTTATTGGTAGTAGTAGAGATGAACATCTCATTATGAGTATCAGTGAGATGCTAATCAATTTAATCATGATGGTGTTAAGCATATTTCCAGCAGAGGCGGTTGGATTCAAAAAGGCCCCTAGAGGCTATTTGGTAGATGTCGCCATCAGCATTTCTTGCCTCAGTTGCTGTACAATAGGGAAGCTCGATGATGATGACTTTAACCACATGCTCATCGCGATCCTTAGAGATAACTATCTCCAAAGAGAACTTTTATTTTATCCAGTGAACGTACGCTCCTCTACGTTCGGTTTAGGCAAAAAAAACGTCTATACCGAGTACCGAGTTGTACCGAGTTTTTTCAAAAAACTCGGTACAGGCGCTTTTTTGCCTAAATCGAACGTAGAGGAGCGTACGTTCACTGGATGTAATAAAAGTTCCTCCAAAGAAGGTGTTACTTTTGACACTGGAATGTGCACCACACTAGCTTTTATTACTTTACACTCCGATGGATAGTGTGTGTTTATGTTATATCGTAAACCTTGCATTGATATGCTTCTTAGTCAAATTGATATGGATCTGAATCTCATCTACATGGAAAAAGTCTTCCATTATGGATCTAGAAGTTTGATCACAAATCAAAGTGGATCAGCTTAGTTAAAGGTCATTGAGGTTGCTAAGGAAGTTGGAATTCAACTCTCTTATGACCCAAACCAACGGCTGTAGATGGTTTTCGCTGTGGCCATCTACAGCCAAGGCAAAGCAAAAAATTTTCAGCATCTAACATCAAGATGATGTCATTAAAGTTAGTGATGTTGAGCTTGAATCTTAACTGATAGAGATTCAGTAGAAGATGAAGTTGCTTTGCAGCTGTGGTGGCCAAGCTTGAAGCTTCGGTTGGTACCCTTGGCAAAAAGGAATGCAAGTATTACACCAAGGTTTTTCGAGGGGTTATTAATGCCTTTAATGTTAGCCAAGTTGACAACATGTTGAGCTGGTGATGCATTTACGAAGTTGGATTGTCCTGGGATGACGGTACAGGTTGTGAAGAAAACTCTGGCAGAGAAGTTCCTCCCAGGACAAACTGAGGTTCGTTTGGACGAAAATGCCTACCGAGAGCAAATCGTCCAGGGAGGATTTGGGATCGTCCAAGACGGTCTGCATGGGTTTATATGGAAATAAGATCTTTTTAAAGAGAGAGAAAAGCCCAGGAGAGAGAAATTCGAAGGAAAAAGAATAAAAAGTGATTTTTGGGCGACTTCTGTTCGTTTCCGTCCGTAGCTACAGTTGAGAAAGTTGACTGACTCGAGGTAAGACACATTCCGTCTTTCTCAATTTTCAGAAATGAGGATTTTGATGACTTTTCTGTTTCAGATTTTATTTCCGTTAGTGAATAATTCATTCTGTTTTGTACTGAAAAATGTTTTATCGCGTAACTTTCAATATGTTTCTGAGATAATAATTATGCACGTTTTGAGTATTTTTTGGAATATTTTTACCGGGTATTTTGAATTCTGCGGAGTTTTGATCGAATAACAATTTACCTGGACGTCTGAATTTACTATTTCAGTACAATGAAAGTTTTAGAATGATGTTGTGTACTCTCTGTGGTAATTTGGTAAATTTCTGAATCTGTAAATTTTGTGGAAAATTCCTTATACTGACGTTATTCCTCTGACGATTTTTCAAACGAATTTCGATTTTCTAATTTGAATGAATTGTTGTGCTGTGATATCAAAAGGGAGTTATAAGGGGCTGAAATCCTTTGGGATTTCGTTGTCTGGGTCTGAGAAATCTGAAAATTTTGTATATTTGTTCTGTTATAGTGCTTCAAGCACAAAGTGAGATATAAGGGGCCAGAATCTGTTGATATTCTGTCAGTGTTAGGGGAGGGAGGCATAAGGGGCCGGAATCCACAGAGATTCTGTATAGGTCTGGGAATCTGAAATCTGATATGTGTTCTAATGTTGAAATGTGATTTCATCTGATTCTACATATGTTCTGTACTATTCTGTTTGTTCTGTACGATTCTGTCTGTTATGTTAATCTGACTTGAATATTTTGTTATGAAGTGAATTCCGTTTTATGTATAAGTGATTTGATTTCTATTTGATCAAGTATCTGTATTCTTATGACTATATGACTTCTGTAAGGTTATTTGAATTCTTTACTACTATTTGAATATTTGCTTCTGATATATTTTTTGATGTAAATTTCTAGAGATTTGGATTGGTGAGTGTAGTCTTGCTGAGCTGTTAGCTCATCCTTATTTTCTACGTGGTTTTTAGGTTCTGGGAAAGGAAAGAAAGTCTTGGACTAAAAGTTCAGTGTCTGATCTATGATTAGGTATTTTGCACTTTTGATTTTTGTACAGTCATGAATTTTTTATTATGTTTTTTCCGTCTATAGCCATGCACTGTATTGTACATGATTATTTTGATGAGAAAAAAAAAAGAAAGAAGAAAAAAAATAGTGGATGCATTTTTATATATTAGGATGTTTTTAGCAGCTCTGTATTTTCTATCTGTTTGTTTGAATATGGGGAAGAAAGTTCTGAAGCAAATTCCAAAACTAGATCCTAGATTTCAAGTTTCGTCGTGAATCGATGTGAGTGGGATTTGTTCTGGTCGGGTTGGGTCGTGAAAAACTTTAGTGGTATCAGAGCAATAGTTTTAAAACTTGGATTGTAAGACAGAGCTATAGGAATTGATCTGTAAGTCTGTCGGGGTAGTTCTGGTTTGTCTGGATTTTTTATTCTGTTATTTTATGTGCATAGTTTTCTGTGTGATTATGGATCTGCCAGACCCAGATATGACTGATGAGCAGAGTGCTAGTCAGGTAGCTCCTGTGAACAGTTTTTCCCTAATGGTTGGTTCTGATACGGTCTCTAAATTTGCTACGTTGGTTGCTTAGATAATGAGTGAAACTCAGAATAGAGCCTCTACTGTTCGATCCGAGGATATAGATAGACATTTACATATGTTTTTGAGATTTAAATCTCTGATATTTGAGGGCACGATTGAGCCCAGAGCAGTTGAGGAGTGGTTAAGGAGGTTAGAAAAGACCTTTGATGGTATGTAGTGTCCTCTAGACAGGAAGCTACCATTAGCTATTTTTCTGTTAGATGGTAAAGCTGAGCGCTGGTGGACGGGCCAACAGGAGGAGAAATTTCAAGGCAAGATGAACTCTCTGATTACTTGGCAAGAATTTTCTAAGATATTTCGATCGTGGTTTGTACCTCCTTCTACAAGACAGCAAATGCATGAGACTTTTCTGAGGTTTTTTCAAGGGAGCTTGATAGTTATATAATACGAGGCAGAGTTTACTACTTTGGCCTGATATGCTCTGCAGCTGGTAAGTACTTATGCTGACAAATGCTATAGATTTTTGAGGGGACTACGAGATAGTCTGAGACAGCCCCTGGTACCATTTCATAATTCTGATTTCTTTGAGCTTGTTGAGAGAGCTCGACTGATAGAGAAAAATCTGATGGCTACTCACCAGCGATGGATTTCTAGTAGGTAGAGATTTATTGGTGATGCTTTTGGTAGTGGTTTTTCTGGATTTGGCAAGAAGATATTTGCTTCCAGGAGGAGTAGACAGTCTGTGTCCACTACATCTTCTAGTAGTGGCAGTGTGACCGGTTCTGGGTCAGTTAGAGGTGCACCTGTGGTCAAACTTATGGATGATGTCATTTTGGCCAGTACTACAGGATGACTGGTTAGTGTTTAAGATATGGTTAGACAGGACATTAGATTGCAGAGTGTCCACAAGTTGGATTTGATCGATGATCTGAGTCTGGATCTAAGGGCTTTGCTAGATCAGCAGGAAGGCCGAGGAAAGTTCCTCCATATACTATTTCTAAGGGATCATCTGGTAGATCAGGTTCTATAGCGAGGAGACCACCTGGCGATACTCAGAGGGTGTCTGGTAGTTCTGTAGCTTCATCTCCAGTTCAGCCACGTGTATATAGTTTGAATCAGAAAGAGGCTCGTGATGCTCCGGATGTGGTGATAGGTATGGTTTATATTTTTGAACACCCCTATCGTGTTTTGTTTGATTCTGGAGCCAATCACTCATTTATGTCCGAGCGTTGTTTTGATGCGTTGCATCTGGATTCTATTTTGCTACCGATTTCTCTTTCCGTTCTTTTGTCGGCTGGAAATAATTTAATTGCTCATAAGTTTTGTTATTGTGAGATTGAAATTTCTAGCAAGAAATGGAAGTCGAGTTTGATTTTGTTGTCGATTTCTTCGAATGATGTGATTTTGGGCATGGATTGGCTGAGCCTGTATGAGGCTCAGATTGATTATTTGAAGAAGCAAGTGAGCTTGCTTATGGAGGGTGAGAGATGTGTATTCCAAGGATTAAAAGGCGTTATCTCCTGTTTGATTTCTATTTTG